GTCCTGCTTGGTGCAAGGGACAAAACTGACAGTCAGTAACTCACAGGGTGACAGTCAAATTGTCTGCCAGCTTTTTGTGTTTCTCCCCACAGCTTCAATGAAATGGGTAAATATGATATTCCAGCAGTGCTGAACTTCATCATGAATAAAACTGGACAGAAGGATGTTTACTATGTTGGTCACTCTGAAGGGTCAACTGCAGGTAATGTTAGAACTGTCTGGGTACCAAACAGTCAGTGTTAGTGTTTATGATTTATACATAAGGTCTGTGAGAAGACTCTGGGGTTTATGCTACAGTGTAAATTGTCCTTTTAGAAAAACAAACTCAGAAACAGAGGAGAAAATTGGGGGAAGTGGCATTATTAGAAAATCGTTTTCCTTTCTTCCCATGTGTGCATTCTAAGAGTCTTTTTACAGAATTACCAGTTCAGACGAAGTCACCACCTTCATTGTCTTCAGATAATTATGTCAGCTAGTTAAATCCATCAGTGGAGAAATTTATACACATTCAGAAAACAGGATGGGACAAACCCATTTTAGCTTAAATGCCTTCCTTATACTCTTCCTTTATGTGTGAATTTATTTTCATGCAAGTATGTCCTTAATCACAAGGAAAAATTTTATTCTTAATCTTCAGATAATTATTGTATTGCTGAATGCCAGCATACCCATGCACAGTCTTTTAGAGACTGCAAGCTGAGAAACTCTTTATTTTGAGTTTAGGGAACTTTAGAGAGAATTTGAATTTCAAAAATCTGATTAATATACCTTTTCAACCAAAACTGGCCTTAACACAAAATTGTCAGTTCTGACAAAAGCAGTATCAGGACATGCTCTAATGAGCTTGTGACCTTAGAATGAACTTTATCTTCCAAAAAAAAGGTTTTAAGCAAGAATCAAACATTCTCTTTAGGTCTGCAGCACAGAAATAGAAAACAGCCAATGGGATGTTAATCTAGTCTCACTCCTTTGCTGCCTACTGCTTTTTTATTTATTTGGTCAGTGGAGATCTCTTCATCAGCTTGACTTCCTTTTCTGAGCTTGCAGGATTCATAGCATTTTCTACTTATCCTGAGCTGTCTCAGAAGATTAAAGCATTCTTTGCTTTGGCACCAGTGGTCACCATCACACATGCTACCAGTCCTCTGGTAACAATCACCCGGCTTCCCCAGTCACTGATCAGGGTAAGTAATTCCTCCTTCTAAAGAAAAAGACAATTGTCTGCTTTTCTCTACTGGACTCAGTCAACCTGAACTTTTAGGGGGTGATCAGTTAGAATTTAATTCAGCGTATCAGACTTCCGACTTTCTAGGGAGCTGAACTGCAAGGTTTCACGTAGTATCACTTTTGCAATTTCTTGAAGGTAGCAGGCATACTTTCATAATTATTTATTTAAGTCAAGTATTTCTGAAGAAGACTTCCAAATACCAGAACAAAAGAAATCTAATATAGTCTACTAAATCTAGCCTTAAGCACTAATAAAAACCACATATAAAATATTTCATATCTTAGTTTCATCAGACATGCAGATTATTTATGCCCATAAAGTATTTACTTGTAAAGTGATAAATGGAGTTTAAACACCAGAAGGTGTCAATAGAATCTGCTGGGAATGTGGAAATCATGTATGCTATACTTTAGGTCAAACCACAGAAGCACATCCTCTTTCTGTCCAAGCTGCACCCATGATGTGACTATAGAGCATTGAGCTCTACACTCTTCTCATTTGTCTGATCCCTCTTTACTTAGGAGTGTTAATCACAGTACAGTTTGTACCTGCTAGGAAAAAAATATTAGGGCAAAAAGGGACTTCGTGTATTCTGCGGCCATCAGTGCAGCCAACTTCCTTTCTCACTGAGATCAGTACACTAAAAACAGAGGGATAGTGACCTCCAGAACTTGTCTCAAGGAGAAGGAGGAACAGGTGGTCTGCCCTTGGGAAGAACACACTATAAAGGATAGTGGGATAACAAGCAGTTTCAGCAATCTTGCCTCTCGTGAAGAGGCAAGACTATTAAAAAGAGAGAGTGACTTAAAGAAGAGAGAGTTTTCTGCATGAAATAATCTTGCAACAGCTAAGAAAAGTTTTTCCCCTCAGTTACTGCTTGGCTGCAAAGGATTTCTTCAATACAGTGAGCTGATGAAAGGACCTGTAACACAGTTCTGTGCATGTCTGGGGAAAGTTTGTGGCAGTATCTTCAACTACATCGCTGGGGGCAGGGTACAAAATATGAACACGGTAAGCACCTCAATACAAGAAATCTGAAGAAGCTTTGAAGGGTAACTGGACAAAGATCTTTTTCTCCTTTGCAAAAATTCATATATTTTCCTTCCAAAACAACAAGACATCTGACTCCTCTGAAGATAAGAGATGGTTTATTTTTGCTTGCTACACCTTGAAACGTTTCCAGCCAAAACTCAGATCTGTTTCTTCACACTTCTCCCAGCAGAAAGATTGGATTCCTTTAGTCTGGCTGATACCTCTTGTTCTTACAGACTTTTCACATGTCTGTTCTCCAGTCACCTTTCATCTCTCAGACTATTTAACAAGTGTACCCATGAAAAGCTCTCACACATGCAGCTTCATTACGCTGAAGCAAACTGCATATTAACAATCTTTCTCTACTCGTTATGGACAGCACTATTTAAAAGCATAATAAAAATCATAGAACCTGGGGAAAAAAAAGGCCATACATGTTTCTCAAATTATGTTTTCTCTATGGCTATGGACTAATGTTGAAAATATTATTCCAAAGGTAAAAAAATCCTATGTAATCATTCCCACTGTAAACTAGTGTATTTGTGAATCTTTCCTCAGCTTCCATTTTTATATCTGAAGAATGTCCTATAAAAAGGGGGGTTTAACACAGCAGCAGTATGTTGCTCAGGGCCTTCGCAGTTTTATTATGTCAGAGCACTGGATCTCTGCCTTCATAACACTTCTGCTTTGTCTCCAGAGTCGAACAGATTCATACATGGGACATTACCCAGCTGGAACATCAGTACAGAATGTTATTCATTGGCAGCAGGTACAACTATGCTGACATATAAACACTCTTAGTATGGCTTTTTATGCAACTGACAGCCAACAGGGAAGTCCAGAGGTGACAGGTCTGGAAATCTGCCCATCACATCTCACCTGTCACAGAGGGAGCCCTGCTCCCCATGGTTAACCACACCACTCCCTGAATTTCCCCTTTGTCACCAGGCTCTGAGATTTCCCCAGGGCACATCACACCTCCCTCGGCTCTAATGGCTTCCAGCCTTCACCCTTATTTATGGAGATGTGTGCAAAAAGCTGCAGAAGTGAACACAAGCACAGCCTAGGCACTTGGCAGGTGGCATAAGTGAGAACTTTACAGTCAGGGATGAACCAAAGTGATCTAGGTTAAAGCTTGTCTCCCAGAGGATTAATTGCAGCCTTGATTAACTCCAAAAGCCAGTTTAATGCACAAATGCTTCTGCTGACACAATGGCAAAATGGGGATCTGCCTCTTCTGCCACCTCATGCCACTTTCAAACCTAAGCTTGCTCTGCCTAGGCTCCAAATCCAACCAGGACAAGATGGCACTGGCTCAGAAATACATCACTCTATGTGAACTGTGAACTTAAGTGAACTCTAAGTGAACTGTGCCACTTAAACCAGCCCTTAAATACATGTGTGCTGCTGTATATCCCCTGCCTAAAATTCCTGGTAGCCAGACCAGAAACCCAGCACCCAGAGCCAGAAAACAGAGATGAGCTAGCAGATTTCTATCATATCCTCAGTTACTTAGAGGTTTAGATTTTAAAAACATGCACAGACATTATCAGTAAAACAGGTTAATCCTTTATTATTTTGATATTCCTTTTAGACAAATCATAGAAGACAAGAGTTTAGTGCTAAGGTAATCACACTCTGCTCCCAATATTCTTGTATGCAGTTCAGAGCCTCTGATATCGCTGCTGCTACTGTGAGCAGAGCAGAGCAGACCAAGCAGGCACACAAAATCCAGGATTTTGAGGAGGTATCCCAGGCTAGTGAGAGCCCTGACATGCTCCTGTATCACAAAGAGCTATGTTAGCTAATTAAAGAGCCAATTAAGGTAGGGCAGCAAGGCTTTAATAACTAAACATAACAAGGGCAGTGGTTGAAGATCAGGAGAAAATGCTAGCAAGGGGAAAGGTGGTGAAACCACTTATCCCACAATCCCTCCTCAGTATCCCTGGAATCCTGTCTACTGCCAGAGACTCAAGTTCAATCATATGCAAGAAAACAACTCCTGCACTCTGTCTCTTAACATTTTCACTTTGTTTGTCCTTGTTACAATACTAACAGATAAAACATGCAGATCAATTTCAAGCTTATGACTATGGCTGTAAGGAAAACATGAAGAAATACAACCAGGTAAGGCAATTCATTTTTCTGAGAACTCATCCTTTGGTCCTGGAAAAACTAAGAAAAGAAAAATTAATACATTAGCACCTTGAATGCTACAAAAAGAAGGAAAGGGTGGTCTTAGGTAAAGCTTCACCTGAATCTAATTCTCATAATTGTCAGAGTCTATTCACAAACACAGCACATACAGATTCTTGCAACCTCCCCTACTGATGCAGGGATGCGTCCAACAACATGTCAGCTTGCCTGCCATTCCCAAAAGGCAGAGTCACACCCAGGTCTTAGGACTGGATGAGTACAGAGCTCTTACCCAAAAATCCTCAAACTGTGTTTCAGATAAACACTAAAATGGGAATGGAAAAAAATAATTGGAAATGCATACCTTGGTTTTCAGAGGCTACCTGCTGTAAAAATTAAACTTAAGGGATGGTTCAGTGTGGCACACTGGAGAGTGCTGGGGAGAACTAAAGTATCCTGTATGGAAAAAAAGGAAACAGGCAAAGTTTAGTCTGTAGGAGCTTTAGTTACTCTGTAGTCAACACCTGAAAATGCTCTGCTCCTCATGCAACTCTTAAATCTCGCCTGATTATTTTGAGGTTTGATCAGATCAGTTTACTTGTGCACTTTGTGAGTCAGGGCAGGTTTTTTTTAGGGGGGCACATTATTTTACTAGTGGATAAAGATTCCAAGGACACCTTCCTTCTCAGACACCTTTCATACACGCATACAGTCTTTAAATACCTGAAGTTTAAATTTTTAAATGGACAATGTTTTATTTCCAATATTGTGGAAAGTTAGAAAATGGCCCAAAAAGCAGTCAAGAAGAAAGATAACAAAACCACCCTTTGATAAGGGTAAGTTCCAAAACATCTTGTGCATGGTGTCTTACCACACTGACAAATAACCATCCTGTGTTAAGTCACTTGGTTCAGATCTCCATTTTAACCTTCTGTGTTTCTTTAACTTCTTCTGTGATGACAAGCAAGGCAGGGAATGGGGTTAGGGCAATGAGCAATAAGAGGGTGGCATTCATCCTTATGGTTTTACTGGAGGCAGTGCAGAAGCAAAAGACAAAGAGA